TTGTCTTGGGGACCAACGCGCCCCAATAGAAAAAAAAAAAAAAAAAAAAAAAGCGAGAAATCACCCCCAAAGGAGATGGTCACGCCCCAATCCCTTCTCCATTCTCTTCTCAGGATCTTGGGCACACACGCACATGCTCCTGGTGTGAGTTTAAGCCACCGGGTCCGGGCCTCAAACCACAGTCAACTACATGGGAGTCCAGTGACATAGCTATTACACTAACTGCTGGTCCCACCTATGATATGTCTACTAAGAGATGAATGAATCAAGTCTTTCGCACATGCACTGCTTTTGCATGGTTTACGGCCAGGAGGTGTTTCCACATCCAGGAAGTTGTCTGTAATGTGACTGAAGATTTCACCACACGGATTTTTTTCTTTTCTTTCATATAATCTCTGTAGTACATAACTTCTTAGATTTTCCCAGGCATTTTGATACTGATCTTCAATATTTGGTTCTTCCAAGTTTCTCCCATTTCTCAGCACCCAGGGTACCCCCGCATCCATCCTACAGTCCCCTCACACAGTCTGTGGCGTGCATGGAGGGGTGGTGGAAAGCAAATGGGCTCCACTTGGTCAAAAGAACCTCCCCACATCCAGCAGGGCAGGTTTTAGATCCAGACTCAACTTCTAAAAAATATTTTAGGAATTATTTGTTTAGGGACCCAACTTTTTTTTCTTTTTTTTTTTTTTTTAGGAATTATTTATTTAATTTTTTTTATTACTTATTTTAATTTGACCAGAGAGAAATACCCAGAGAGAGAGAGAGGGAGGGAAAGTGAAAAAACAAGCCACCAATTCCTGGACTCAAACTGTCGTTGGCCATGTGGGAGCATCCAGCGCCTTAACCACCACACCACATGCTGGTCCCCAGGACCCAACTTTTTAATAGAAATTTAAGAATTATTTGTTTAGGGACCAACAAATGGCATAATGGTTATGTGACTGGACTCCCACATAGTCGACCATGGTTCGAGTCTAGGACTCAGCAGTTTCAAACTCACACTGGGTGCATGTATGTGCATGCTCAAAATCCCAAGAAGAGAATGGAGGAGAAGGGATGCCCCTTCAGGGGTGATTTCTCACTTTCTGTCTCTCTGTCTCTGTCTCTGTCTCTCCAGTGAGTGTGCATGCCCTATAGCAAAAAGAAAAAAAAGAACTGTTTAATTTTATTTTTTAAAATAATTATTTATTTAACTTTATTTATTTTGTTTTTATTTTATTTATTTTAATTTTACCAGAGAGGCACAGAGTGAGAGAAGGAGAGAAAGAAGGAAAGTTTATTATTATTATTATTATTTAATTTGACCAGAGAGAGAGGGCAAGCTGCCAGGACCAGGATTCAAACTGCAGTGGGCCATGTAGAAGTCCAATGCCTTAACCACCACATCACTTGCCTGCTCCACTAATATTTTTAAGTTTATTTTATTTATGGTAGCCTGTGCATGTGCACAAGAGAGAAAAGCACCCCTGACAGAGTATTGTCACACTACAATCCCCTCTTCTCTGGCCCTCTAGCTTGTCAAGATCTTAGGCATGTATTCACATACCTAGCATGTTTACAAAGTTGACCTGGAGACCTAAACCTATGGCCAGTCATGTGGCTTCCAGCACTGTAGTTCATTTAGCTACTGACTGGACCATCAGGCTGGGCCAGCTTATGTTATTAATATAAGGGTCGTCAAACACTTTGTGGAAGTGTGTATTATGGAAAGACTACATATGGGGACCAGCAATTGGCATAACGTCTATGTTGCTGGACTCCCATGAAGCCGACCGCGGTTCCAGCCCTGGACCCGGTGGCTTAAACTCATGCTGGGCATGTATGCGTGCGTGCCCAAGATCACAAGAGGAGAATGAAGGAGAAGGAATTGTGGCATGGCCATCCCCTAGGGGAGAGTGTGAGTGTGTGTGTGTGATTTCTTGCTTTCTGTCTCTCTGTCTCTCTCTGTCTTGTGATCGCACGTGCACCTCTCCAAAAAAAAGACTACATATAGATCTCAAAAACTTTTTGCTCCAAAATGAACTCATATTTAATCCTTTTTTTTTTTTTATTGTCAGAGGGTGTGTGCACTTGCCAGAGAGAAAGAGACAGAGAAAGAAAGCACCCCTCAGTGTGAGGCTGCCATCTTTTTTTCCTCCATTTCTCTTTCCCATCAGGATCCCGGGCACAGACACACATGCACCAGACATGTTTTCCAAACTGCCAGGGCCGGAATTCAAACTGTTATCAGTTTGTCTGGATACATGTGGAATCCAGCTTCCAAAGCACTGTAACCACTGCTATCATAGGACTGACCCCAACTTGTACTTTAATGCCAGTTTCCACGAACTTTTTGAAATCTCCTTATATGAGATTGCTGAAAGGCACCAGTGTCCTGAGTGCATCCAAATATCTCAGAAGTTACAGAAACGAGTGGCAGAATGACCATACGAGAGCACACCTGAGAGAAGGCACAACCCAAGCGCAGTGTTAAAGAGAAGGAGCGTCAGCAAAAAAGAGGGGCAGGAGACATGACAGAGTTTCCAGGCAGAAGGCATAGCACATGGAAAGACCAGTAAGAGTGAGTTTTTGTTTTTGTTTTGAGAGATTTTGCTATAAGGTATGTGTGCTTGCCGAAGACACACAGAGACAAAAAGCAAGAAGTCACTCCCCAGGAGGATGGCCATGCTGCAATCTCTTCTTTTCCATTTTCTCAGGATTCAGGACATATGTGCACACACACCCAGCATGAGTTTCAAGCTGCCAGGTCTGGGACCCAAACTGAGGTCAACTATGTGGGAGTACAGTGCCTTAACCACCACCTGCTGGCCCCAAGAATGAGGCTTTTTTTGTCTACCTGTTTTGTAGAACGCAAGAAACAGGCTGGAGATAAAACGTGTAGCAGATGGTGTGACCTTGTAGACCACATGAAGGATTTTGAGCTTTTAAGAGCGGCGAAGAGCTATTAAGGAGTGACACTGTCAGTTGTTCATTTGTGCACTGCAGAAAGATAACTTAAACTTTAGTGTGGGAAACTGGAAATACAGGCATTTGGAGGCTGTTATGTAATAAGTCCCAGTAACCCTGACATTGCCAGGCAGAAACCAGCCCACCCTCCCTCTAGATTCTAGTTCTATGTATGTTCCAAGCCAAACAGTGTAAATGGCTCCAAGAGCCTTAGGCTCTGCCCAGGAGCCCCATTCAGCAGAGCCCCATTCACCTGCCTCTGCACACACCTCAGAGAACCCTGGCCCACTGCCTGGGCTCTTGGCTCCTGGAAGGCCAGAGTTGTCAGAGTGGCTGTCCCATGGAAATTGTGGGCCATGAACTGTGGGACTGAGAGGGAGGGAGCTGCAAACCAGGGAGCACATGGGACTGGAGGAGGGCTTGCATCAGTGGTAGAGGGTGGGGTTCAGGATTAAGAGAGTCAGTCATCCTGGAATCCTTGTTTTTTCTCTGTCCTTTTTTGTTGTTTAGGTTTATTTTTCTTCCAAGAGCAAGAGAGACAGCAGCCTGTTAGAGTCCTTATGCCGCAATCCACTGCCAGCCTCAGCCAGCCTTGGATCA